CACCCCTCCACTGAGCCCTAACTACCACTTCCTTAGGTAGATAATTCCACCTAAGAACTACATGACATCCATTTCCACAAGGTCAAGCTTACAGTACTTTTGACCACTCCCTGCTCCCTAAATCTACCCCAAATTTGTTATTATGAACTTTTGCTAACAGTACTTCTACTTCTATCCACCCAACCCAACACCACCTCTACTCGATCTTCAACACCCTAGCCCTAGTGTTTCTCAGCAATGGTCTGGAGAAAAGATCCTTCCAATAATCTATCCAGACTACTTCCAGTATCTTCGGCCTTTAGCCACAATGATTTTTTTATGGAAAATAAGTCTGAGAATTCAAAGTTTGAAAAGCTAAGCATAAAAATAACTATAAAAGAAGTAAAACAAAAATTAGACTATTTCATAAAGCTTGGCCACAAGGCCTTACACATGAGATTAAAACTACAAACTACAAAGGAAAACAGAGATTTAACTGCATTTGTTATATTTTATTTTATTATTTTGGTTCTGGGGACTGAACACAGGGCCTTGAGCATGCTAAGCACACATTCTACCACCGAGCTACATACCCAGTCCAAAATGCATTCTTTTTAAACCTGCCATATGAAGAGCTAGGCGCCAGTGGCTCACACCTGTAATCCTAGCTACTCAGGAGGCAGAGATCAGGGGGATCTTGGTTCAAAGCCAGCCGCCAGGCAAGTACTTTGAGAGACCCTATTTCAAAAAAAACCATCACAAAAAAGGGCTGGTGGAGTGGCTCAAGTAGTAGGAGCACCTGCCTTGCAAGCGTGAGGCTCTGAGTTCAAACTCCAATGCCACCAAAAAAAGAGACAAGTGACACTTGGAAAAAAATACCTGCCATATATGACAGGTATCAGATTACCATCTAAAGGAAGATAAGCAAACCATGGCTCACAGGCCCAATCCTTCCAACTGTCTGTTTTTCTTTTTCTTTTTTTGGTAGTACTGGGATTTAAACTCAGGGCCTTGCACTTGCTAGGCAGGCGCTGTATCATTTGAGCCATGCTCCCAGCCCTTTTTGCTTTTTTAGTTATTTTTTGGGTAGCAGCTCATGTTTTTGCCTGGGGCTGGCCTAAACCACAATCCTCCTACCTATGTCTCTCCATGCTTTCCCATAGTTGAGACCACAGACTTGCATCACCATGTTCAGCTTGCTGGCTGAGATAGTGTCTCACTAACTTTTTGGCTGGTTTGGTCTTGAATGATGATCCTCCCAATCTCTACCTTCTGAGTAGCTGGGATTACAGGCATGAGCCACTACACCTGGCTCAGTTGCCTGTTTTCACAAATAAAGTTTTACTGGAACAGAGCCATAACCATTAGTTTATATATTGTCTACAGCTCATTTTGCAACATGACAACAAAGCTGCATAGTTGCACAGAGGCCATATGGCCCACAAAAGCTAAAATATTTACTATCTAGTTTCTTTTTTGGTCATACTGAAGTATGAACTCAATGCCTTAAGCTTTCCAGGCAGGTGCTTTACCATTTGAGCCATGCCCCCAGCCCTTTTTTGCTTTAGGTGTTTTTCCAGAAAGGTCTCAGATGTATACCCTGGACAGAGTGGACCTCAATCTTCCTACTGAAGTTTCCCAAGTAGCTGAGATGACAGGCGTGCACCACCATGGACAGCTTTTTTGTTGAGATGGTGTCTAACTTTTTGCCTGAGCTGGCCTCCAACCACATTCCTTCCAATCTCCGCCTCCAGGTAGTGAAGATTACAAGCATGAGCCACAATACCCAGCCAACTATATGGCCTTGTATAGAAAAAGTTTGTGGATCCCTGCCCCAAAGAATACACAGAAAGTTTCTACAAATCAATGGGAATTGGAGGATAACCCAAGAGAAAAATGAGCAAACAATATAAACACACAATTCACAAAAGAAATAAAAATATTCAGTAAGTATTATAAAGATAGGCTTAACCTCCCTGGTAATTAGGGAACTTATTGAAGAATTAAATTATTTGATAATATCCAGTCCTGGAAATGTTACAACACAGCCTTTTTTGGAAGACAATTTGGTGGTATCTGTAAAAAAGTTTAATGGGCTTCATGTCAATCCAGCCATTCTATTTTTAGGTATCTGCCCCCCAGAAATACTTGCATTCATGCACACATGCACACACACCCAAAAAGTATTATAAAGCTATTCACTGGCGCATTCACTATCTATAACAGCAAAACTCATCAGTAACCTTGATGTCCACCAAAAGGGGAATGGGTTAAATTACAGCATATACCTAAGGGTCTAATGTGCAAGTCATTTTGGCATTTTTATATGCAACACCATGAAAAGAGATCTAAGACATATTGTTGGGCAGGGAAAAAATACACTGTGAATACATGCACATAGTTCAGGTTAAAAAAGGGTTTAAATGATATCTGAATCCAATGCAAAGAAATGCACTAGAGGACTGAAGGAAAATGCCACCCTGGGAACAGAGACCTGGGACTGCAGGACTGACTCTATCAGTGGCAAACTCCTCGGCCCCAAGTCAGCATTCTCAAGGCATCTTCCACAACTCAACCATTCTGTTAACCTTACTACCCTCCCAACGTGCTCACAGGATGGCCACTGTGGACCCTGAACAGGAGTTGGTGAAAGAAGGGGGGGCTTAAGAATCCTGGCTCTGCCTCATTAGGCAAGCCACTTCCCTTCTCCAGGTTTGAGTCTTCTCACCGGTAAAAGGAAGTGGTTAGATTAGCTGATCTCAAGTTCTTTCCAAGTCTGATGCCACAATACAGGCCCTGGAAGAGGTTTCTGTACCTCTCTAGGGGAAAAACAAACAAAACCCACAGCTGAGGAAATAAGGTTCAAATCAGAACACTCAGAGGAATGTCTGCTCCTGGGAAGATGACATCCCGGGAGCAAAAGCCATCCCCGCCTCCCTGGGCTCAGTGTCCTCGCCTATTAAACAGGGCTGGCCTTGATGATCACTGATGTATCTTCCAGTTTGGACAGTCTAAAATAAGCTTGGGATGGGGAGGGGCAGCAGGAAACAGGGGAATGGGGGGAGACTGATGGGAAGGACTGGCTGAGGTTTTCTAGTGGAGCCAGAAGGATGAGAGCAAGAGGCTGGGGGAGGGCCGGATGCAGAGAGCAGCAGAGAAGGCTGTTGGCAAGAACCCTGAGTCTCCCTCCTCTCCTTTCAAGAGCAGTTTCTTCCTGAAAGATCCCAGGAGGTAGAAGGCTGGGCTAATCTGTCCCCGTACAAATAACCCCACTCATTATTTCAGAAACTACCATTCCAGCTGTGCCCTGGAGGTCTCAGGCCTGTTTCAAAGCCCACAATTCAACTTTGAATACAGTGAAAGAGTACAAATATTTCAAATTTGCCTCTCCCCTTGAATTCAGTTAATAAGCAACTATTTTTTTAATTTTAACAGTTCCAACTCAAACATGCAAATTCTACTCTATGTAAGTTTAAGAATTAGAAAACAACCCCTATGTAGCTTAAATGCCTAATTTACCAATTTTGACAGTTGCTTAGAATAACCAGGAAACTCACAAACCTCCCTCAAAACAGCCCTTCCCAAGCTCAAAAACTTCTTAAAGTTGACTATTCTGTGGGTGGTTTGTTTGAGGTACAGGGACTTGTTCAAGGTCACACCTTTGAAAGGGAGAGCCAAGACTAGAAACAGTCTCCCCACTCCCATACAGTCCATAAACTGCTTTCCAGGACAAAATGTCCAGGTGAGAAAAGGGAATCACACCTTTCTCCTTTGAAAGCCCATCCCTACCCACCAGAAGACCTGGTGTATTCTATCCTTCCCAAGCTGACCTGTCTCTAAGGCCCATGGTGTTCACACAATCTATGACTTTGGTTAAACTTCCTGACTGTTGGAAACCTGACCTCAAAGAAAGGCACTGTGTCCCAGGCCATAACCCCTGCCCTACCACCCCACTCTCGTCCGCCCTGTAAACAAGTCAAACCCTGCTTGCACTTCAGTGGCATTAGAAACAGCCAGGCCAGGACACTTCAAAGCAATGCTTTCTGTCTAAGGGGTTCTTTTCCAAAAGGAGTGGCTACAACTAGGTCACACTGGACTGGAATGTAAAGGGAGCTCCTGTGGCCTTGTACAGAGAACTGAGAGGAAGCTCTGAGGACAGAGGCTGGCAAGGAGTGGGGTAGGAAGACCAAACCAGGGCCAGTGGGAACTGCAGTCAAACCCTGAGACCTCGTACCAACACAAATTCCCCATCTCCTAAACCACTCCAGAGTGGAGGTCCAGCACTATTTTTGACGTCTGTGACTCTGATGCAGATTGGTGGGCTACTTACTAACCTAGTTAAAAACGCTCAACTACCAGATAAGGCCAAGAGCAGTGAACCAACTTTTGCCAGGTCGGACAGGTCTCCTGAACCCCTGGGCCAGCGACCAGAGAACTGGGAGGGCATGGTGGCAAGACCAACCTCCAGCTCTCTCAACAAAAGCCCTCGGCTTAAGTTCAAGAGCAAGACTCTTCTCCTCAGACTTGGAGACCCTCTACTTCTGTCCTAATAGTGGCAATGACTTAGAAGGAAAGCAGGCTGTGTTCCACAAGATGGAAGTCCATGGCCCACCCTGACAAGCCAATCACTGGGCCACTCTGGTGAACAAGTCTTAAGTCCAGTCCCAAAACAGAGTCTGAGGGGGGTCCTGCCAAGCGGCAAGCAATCCCCAAGCGCTTTGTTCCTACCAAGAGAAACCAGGCATTTTTGAGTCAACCCAAAAAGCATGAATCACACGGCAGGGCTATGGGACCGCGCGAAAGGATGTTATTTTTCGGCATACTTGAGGATTTTCCCTTTGTCCGGACTCTATCAATACTCTTCCCGCCCCCATCTCCAGCCCCATCCCCCAGCACTCACGCATTTTTTTCCTGCTCCATTTTTATTTTCCTCGTGGCCCTCAGAGGCGCCCCAGGCCCGTCACCCGCAGGCCGGGGGGTCTCCGGGCTCCGCTCCCCCGCGCGCCGGACGAACAGCTCACCTGCGTCAGGTCTTCGTCGTTGAGCAGATGCGACTCACGGGGCTTGAAGCAGTTCTGACACTTACTCTTGTTGAAGATGTTGGCCTGGAATTTCCTGCACGGATTCTCCTTAGTCGCCGACATCGTCGGCGCGGCGGCGGCGGCGCGGCCCGGCCCGGCGCGCTCCCGGGGCTCGGGGCTCAGCGCGGCCGCCGCCGCATCTCCAGCCGGCCGCCGCAGGCCCGGCCCGGCCTCTCCGCCGGCTCGCCGCGCGCCGCCTGCTCGCTTCGGCCTCACAGAGAGCGCGCCGCTCCGCGCCCGCCCGCACGGCCGCCTCCGCCCGGCCGCCGCGGGCCCATGGACGCGGCCTCGGCCCGCTGCCTCCGCCGCGGCCGCCTCCCAGGCGCCGGTCGCCCGCGGCCTGCTTGTCTCACCGCCGCCACCGCTTCCCTGGGCGCCCGCGGCCGCTGCAAATGGGAGCTACGCGCCGCGCGCACTCGGGGCGGGGCGGCGTGGGGCGGGGGGAGGGCGGGGCCGCGTCCACGACCGGCAGCCCCGCTGACCAATGGATGCCACGCGCTGTCGCTAACAAAGAAACCTCTGGGCCAACGGCTATCGGGGGCGGGGCCGAGCATGGCCGGGCGCAAGGTAACTTGTACCGGCGGGGGAAGGTGGGGGCTCCGGGATGGGACGTTCAGGTTTGGTGGACTGGCGCCGAGGCCGGGAGTCTGACAGCTGCAGGACCTGGCGGGAGGCCTGCAGGGGGAAGGGCGGAGCAGACCTCCGGCAGGCAGACTATCCTCAAGCCCCTTGCTTCCAGTATGGCCTTATCTCCCGAGCCCACCCTGCGCCCCCGGACTGAACAGATTAGTTTAGCATCTACTATGTGTCAGACCCGATCGTCGCGGTCGTGGTTAGCATTGTTAATAAGGGCTAGGTACTGTTCCAAGTGGTCCATGTGCTTATTAAAGTTTCACAACCTTCCTGTGATCATCCCCATTGTACATATGAGTAAACTAAGGCACAAGGAAGTTAGGTAATAAGAGGTAGTGTTTCCAGGGATGACTAAGAGAAGACGTCAGCAGCCTTGAAGAGCTGTCAGTTCTATTATGGGAGATGAGTGAACACTGACTCTCCGCCAGGTCCTGAGCTAGGCATTCTTACCTTCATTATGTGCTTGAGGAAATTAAGGCTCAGAAACTCGGAGTAATTTGTGCAAGGTCACTTTGCCAAGGAAGGGGCCCAGCTGTCACTCCAGCCCTCCTCTGCTCAGTCTCCTGGCCAAAAGACAAACTGGAGATGACTGTGGAAGGCAGAGGCAGAAGAGTACAGGATTGGGAGACTGAGGGAGGAGAGTGCGTTCCTTAGGACAATTACAGTAGCTTCCAGAAGCTGAGGGGTGGATCTAAGCAGATAGAGGTTCAGTGCAGCTGGAGGAGGAGGTCGAGGAAGAAGCAAGAAGGCATTACTCTAGGACCTTGGATTCCAGACTGAGTCTGCTGGCAGTCAGGAGTCATTGTGAGATTTTTAACTGGGGGTGAGCTAATTCAGCCATCACTGTGGAGGTGACATTGGAGCATGTGGTATGAGCAGTTACAGCAGCTGTTGCTTAGGGGATGGGAAGGTTTTAGAAGAGAAGTAGCAAGTGTTTCTAGAGCTGTGTACTTTTCCACTTATCATCTGGTGAGTATCCCAGGGAGGTGGATTTCCACTTTAAGAAATGCTTTCCTGCGAAGGGAATCTGAGGAAGGCAGATCAAAGTCCTTCTGCAGCCGATGGGAAGAAAGCCCCTCTCCACACCTTAGTTCTATGGCCTTGGGCAAGTCCATTACCCTGCCTGGTGTCTCAGGGACCACCTGTACAAAACTAACATGATCGTATGGGGTTACAAGCATTAGGTGTTACAATGCTTATAAAATACTTTGCACAGTGTGGCAAAATATTAATTGGTGATTCTAGGCAATGGATGTTTATTGTACTATTCTTCCAACTTTCCTGTTGGTTTAATTTTTTGCAAAATTAAAAAGGGGGACAGGTAAAGGAGACTGACAATTCTTGCCTGCACAGCGTACTCAGAAAGTGATACCAATGGTGGCCTCTGGAGAGGAGAACTGGGTGGTTGGGAGGTGACCTACTTTTAATTTTCTTTGTAAGCCCTTTTGTTCCACTTAGATTTGGTATTTTGTGGATGTACAACTTGTTTTAAAATAAAATTTTCAATGCCCTGAGGCCAAGGCAAAGGCATGTTCTGCTCCGGTCAGTGGATGCATCCAGGGTCTGCCATGGACTGTGGGGGAGGGGGACACTTCTTGGGGTGAAAAGAAGAGTTTGATTCAGGGATCTAGAGGATACCTACACAGCATGACCCCACACTCAAGCAAGTGGGGACACATGGAAACAGGAGGCAAATAGATACCTTCCATTTGGGGAGTTGGGGGGCCTTGGCTGAAGGACCTTCAGCTCCATAGGTAGCCTCATGGCAGGCTTCTGGGGGAGACAGTGCCTGGACCCAGTCTGCAACTGAGTAAGACCCAGCAGGGAAAAGATGGTAGGAAAGGCATTGCAGATATGAGCACCAAGGGGAGAGGCTCAAGACCTTGAGGCCAGTATGTGTCAGTGAACAGCAGCACCTGGCTATCACTGGCTAGTGCAGAGACATTGCAGAACAACATGGGATGGAGGATGGAGAGGATAAATGGATGGTGCAAACTCAGCTTCTTTGGGGGGACATGTGTGTTGCTGATGGTGGTTACTATTATTTCATGTCCATTTGATGGGAGACACCCATAAGGCCCAGAACATACTATAAACTTGCCTTTGGCCACAATTATGAACCCCTAAGTGAGGATTCAAAACTTCCACCAGAGCTTCCTGGGCAACATGGAGTCAGAATTTTGGATTTTATTTTTTCTGGAGCTGGGGTTAGAAACCAGCGCCTCAAACATGCTAGGTAAGTGCTCTACCACTGAACATGCCCCAGCCCAACTGTGGGTTCTTCTGACCAAGTACTTACTTAAGGGCTGTTGATCTGGAGAATGAATGGGAAGCAGAAGTCTGGAAAGGCAATCCATCAGGAAACAACCAAGACATACCAGAGTAGAGAAGGTGGGGCCCAAACTAGAATAGGGGCAGTAGGAGATGATGGAAATGAATTTGGACAATACTGAGCAAATGGAATAGGTAATGTATTGTTCAAAACTCGATTAGTTTATGAGCATCCTCAAGGCAGGAATGGGTGTTGGTTACTATTGCATTACCTGTGTTCAGTGCTTGGTGTAGAGTAGGAGCTCAGTAAATACCCAGTGGTGAGTAAATGATTAAAAACATATGATTCGACCAGGCACCGGTGGCTCATACCTGTAATCCTAGCTACTCAGGAGGCAGAGATCAGGAGGATTGCAATTTGAAGCCAGCCTGGGCAAATAGTTCATGAGACCCTATCTCGAAAAAACCCTTCCCAAAAAAGGGTAGAGTGACTCAAGGTGCAGGCCCTGAGTTCAAACCCCAGCACTGAAAAAAATATATATATGATTCCATCTGGTATTGAATTATCTCCCCCATCAGGTTATAAAACCCACACAGACAGGAGTGAGTCTTACAGCCTTGGCTTCCCTTTTCAGGGGCCTAGAATAGTGCTTTCCATCAGATTCACTACTTAAAGTATTGTTGTTGTTGTTATTCATTATTATTATTATTATTATTATTATTATTATTATTATTTTGGTGGTGGTGCTGGGGATTTAACCCAGAGTTTTACACATACTAGACAAGTACACTACCACTGAGCCACACCCCAGCCCCTTTAACACTCAGTGTTAACATGTAAACATTCATTCGTCTATACCCTTAAGATTGGTTCACTGTATGTATATATCTCAATATGTAATGTACATTTCCAACAAGCAAATAATAATAAACAATCAACAAAAGGCCACTCAGATGGCCCCCAACCCGCAGGTAAGTCTTGCTATATGGTTCTCACTGCTACTCTGTGAAACTTTCCCTGCATCCAGAGGGAGCAGAGTTTCCATTGTGCACGCACGCACACACACACACGCGCACACACACACAACTTTGATGTCCATCACCATAGATTAGTCTTGTCTGACCGTGACCTTCACATAAGTAGAATCTGCTCTCTGTGTCTGGTTTTTCTCATTTAACAGTATGTATGTGCGATTCATGTGTCCACACTGCTGCTATGGGTACCAGCATGTCATTCTTTTTCATTGCTACCCTGTCGTCCACTGTGGGACATTTTACAGTTTACCTCTCCAGGTTTCTGTGGATGGCTGTTAAAGATGTTCCCAATTTGGAAGCCCAATAAATAAAATTGCTATGAGCATCTTTGCACATGTCTTATTTCCAGTGGGATTACCCAAAAGGAGGATGGGATGGCCAGGTGGTTTAGTAAGTTTCTCCCTGGGAAACTGCCACACAGCTCTCCTCACCTGAGATCTGAGCTGTCCTCGCATCTTTTGCTAGTAAGCCATCATAGGGTCCATTGGCAGGGACAGGTTAATGCTGCAGATCACCTCCCTAAGGAATCGTTCATCTGTTGGAATATAAGAATCCATGTTTTTAAATAAGCGATTCTGGCATTTCTATTTTCTTTTTTCTGCAAAGGAGTAGCAAAGTTTTATTGAAAGTAAAGGAAAGTACACAGTAAAAGAGTGACAGGCTTGAGCAAGATGGCTCAAGAATAGCATTTTTTATTTTTTGGCAGCACTGGAGTTTGAACTCAGAGACTCACACTTACTAGGCAGATGCTCTATCACTTAAATCACTCTGCTAACCCTGATTAGTGTTGGGTATTTTCGACATAGGATCTCACGAACTATTTGCCTAGGGCTGGCTTTGAACCACAATCCTCCTGATTTCTGCCTCCTTAGTAGCTAGGATTATAGGTGTGAGCCACTGGTACCTGGCTTCCTGGGGATTTTTAATCATTACTACTCTGGACCCCCATTCCCAGATACTGTGATTTAGCTGGTGTCTGTAATTCTAATGTCTTAGGGTATATTCCAACCACTGGGTGAGGGAAGGGAGAGAGGAAAAGGCTCTCAGGTCAAGTAGACCAGGGACCATGAGACTAACCTCCACCCTGACCAAGCAGAATTACTGAATCACCACTTATTGTCACTCTTGTTTCTGTCTTGCTACCTGGCTCAGCAGAGCAGTTCTACTGGTCTTACCTGGGGGTCTTTGGGGAAGCACAGCTAAGTCGCAGCTGGGACTAGGTCTTCTGGAGGCTGGACTGAGACCAGTGGGCTTGGGCTCTGCCCCTATACACAACCTCAGAGTCTCTCCTTTCCCCCTGGCCTCCCCTCTGCTCTGCATATGTCATCAGTCCCCAAAGTGTCCCAAAGGCAGAGAGCAGAAGCTGATAGTCCTTTAAAGATGAGCCTGGTGCTGTATCATATGCTGTTGGTCAGCCCTTGGCACAGCTGAGCCAGACTCCAGGAGGGATGGCT